TTTTCTTTTTGCTTATGTGGTGCTGAGGAATCGAACCCAGGGCCTCGAGCATGCAAGGCAAGTGCTCTACCACTGAGCCACCTTCCCAGCCCATGGCCCAGGCTTCTATCCTATATATAAGGCTCAGCCCCTATCATGGCTAAGGTCCAAGGTCCAGGCTTAGTACAGCTCACTCCTTAGAGTGAAGAACAAAGGAACATAACTTACATATTTCTCATTGCCTGCCAGGGAGCTCTTTTTAACCTTCTTTCTGCTCTGCTCCTCTGCAGAGGTCTAACCCCCTGCAGGTATACCCACAGCTGAAAGGGAACTTCCCAGAGAACCTGAAACACCTGAAAAACACCATGGACAACCTGAACTGGAAGGTCAGCAGGCTTCCATGCATTGGAACCCTCTTTCCCCTGATGTCTTGTGAGACTTGGCTCTAAGTGGAAGGAGGGGAGGGCTCATGAGGCTGCAGGGCCAGCTTCTACAGAACTCTGAGCATCAAAGAACACTTGGAGTCACAGAACCACGTGGACAGAGCCCTGAGGGTCTTTTAAGGCGGACCCAGGCTGCAGTGGACTCCAGGTGTTGAGCCACCTGGGGGCCTGGCCCAGTACAGCATATTGAACGGGGTAGGGCTCCATGATGGCTACCAGGCTTAACCACTTGCTTTATCCCCACCAGGTCTTTGAGAACTGGATGCACCAATGGCTCCTGTTTGAAATGAGCAAGAACTCCCTGGAAGAGAAGCCTACTGAGGCTCCGCCCAAAGGTAGGGTGGGCCTACAGGGTGCTAGGATTTCCAGCTATCCCAGGTGACTGCATCATGCCGCCTCCCATCCTCACAACTTCCTGTTTCTGGGCTCAGCTGCCCCGGCCCCATCTTATTTGTGGTTTGCTTTTGCCCACCACATTTGCCATGGGGTATAGACACAGCTCATACCTAGCCTACACCTCACTCTAGGAGGGTGATCACATGACGTTCTGGAGCAAATGCAACCTAAAGCCTACCAGGCAGGAATTCCAGTCCTCACCACTTGGAAAGGGCCCTGGGTATCTCCCACCTCAGCAACATCACATACCATGATGCTTTAGCCCTAAAGCTGCATTCCCAATTCACTGTGCAGTTCTAAGACTGGACTGGCCAATGGCTCATCTGGCCCTAGCCCAGTGAGTGATCCCTTTCAACATACAGAAGAGGGGACCCTTGCTACTTCACCTCTTTGAATTAACAAAGGGCACTTCTGACTTCTACTTGGGTGCTCCCAATAGTAGCATGCTGAGAATTCTCAAGGTGTAGGCTACTTTCTTCCAGAACCACGGGGGATAAGAAATGGTCAAGATTAGTCCAGCGCCAGTGACTCACACCTGTTATCCTAGCTACTCAAGGGGCTGAGATCTGAGGATCATAGTTCAAAACCAGTCCAGGCAGGAAAGTCCTCGAGATTCATTATCTCCAGTGAACCACCTAAAAGATGAAAATGGAGCTGTGACTGAAGTGGTAGAGTGCTAACCTTGAACAAAAAAAAAGCTCAGAAACACCTAGGCCCTGTGTTCAAATCCCAGGACCACCCCCCACCAAAAAAAAAGCAAGAAAAAAAAAAGGGAAGGAAGGACAGACACAGTCAAGTTCTAGAGTGAATTAGCCACACAGTCTTCCACTCCCTCTTTAGTCTAGGACCCTATGTAGGCCTCAGTTTTCCATTTGTGCAGTTGGTGAAGAGAAGCTACTAGTGCCAATGCTAGGCCCACAGCAGCAGTGTGTGGGTCTTGCAGAGCCAGAGCTTACTCATTCACTGTCTCCATCATGCCTGTCGCTTCAGTACTGACCAAGTGCCAGGAAGAGGTCAGCCACATCCCTGCCGTCCACCCCGGCACATTCCGTCCCAAATGTGATGAGAATGGCAACTATATGCCACTCCAGTGCCATGGGAGCACTGGCTACTGCTGGTGCGTCTTCCCCAATGGCACCGAGATCCCCCACACCAGGAGCCGTGGGCACCATAACTGCAGTGGTAAGCAGGGGCCAAGATGACAGCAGCTGGAAGGACGAGGAAGGACTAGGAAAGCTGAGGGGCAAGAGGTCCCCCCTGTGCCCATGGGTCAGGATACTGGGGATGTCAGCTTCCGGGTGGTTGGCTCTGTCACGTGTCCTGCCCTTTCTACCCATCCAGCCATCCTTCTGTCTCTGCCATGTCTCCTCTCACACCCACACATCTCTCCATGCACTGGGAGTCCCACAGACCTCCCTACTCCTGTACCACCCTACTTGGCCCCCAGTTACACTCCTGTACTGCAGGCCTGCATCTTTAGGAAGGATGTTATTGGACACCTGCAAGTAACAACTGGACTTGCTTCTTTGTAGAGCCACTGGACATGGAGGACCAGTCTTCTGGGCTGGGTGTGACAAAGCAGGATTTGGGCCAAGGTAAGGCCTGGTGAAGTAGGAGTCACCTGCAGCCATCCCTAGTTGCATAGCATGACCATTGGCCATTCTCCCACATCTCATCTTGTAAAGTGGTGGTGGTGGGGGGGGAGGAGACATGTTAGCGGGGGTTACTTGAACCCCTGATGGGCACTACTTGAGCTCAACAGGGGTATGTAAGGTATGTCAAGTCCTCTTGCTCTGTGGTTCCGTGATACTAGGAAGGGGTAAGGACAACAAATGAGCGTCCCCTAACCTCAACCTGCCTCTTCTTTTTCCAGTCATCATGTGAAGACAGCAGGAATCATCTCCAGCACCCAGCCAGCTTTGTGACCACAGCTTTCCTGCTCCCCTCTGCCTCAGCCCCTCCCCTGTGCCTCCAGTGTCCCCCAAGTTCCCATCCCTGCAGCCCCTCCTGGGCTGTCAGCCTGTCCACTCCCACATGTTGGCATGGACGCAAAGCCAGAGGTGGACTCCTGATCACATCACTGCAGTCCCTAACATCAATTATCTAGGTTCATGGGCAGGGAGGAGGGACACTCCCCCAAACCCTAGGCTGCACGTTTGCTGACCTTTCCCCTCAGGCCTTTTCCACCTCACTCCCCAAGGAGGGGCCGTCTCTCTGCTCAACACCTGCAACCCCAGCCAATGCCAGGTCCCCTGCTCAGCTAGCTTGTAAGCAGCCATCAGGGCTGGGCCATAGTGCACATTGAGAATAAAATGTAGTAAGTAGAATGTTCTGGTTCCTAGCTCTTCTGTGGGGATGAAGTCAGCTCACTCTAAGGCTGAAGAACCTAAATCCACCCATCAGGAAGAAGACAATGCAGCCCCAGGGGTCCAGACTGGGGCCTGTGGACAGATATTTTGGGTGGCACGTTCAATATGCAAATTTACTTACTTCTGAGAAGAGACTTGCCTGCAGTTCTAAAGCTCAAGTTCCTTGTGTTCCACCTCCCGTCCCCCCCCCCCATGTCCTCGATTCCATTTCTATACTAAGAGCAGCATGGGTGTGATGACAGATGACAACGGACTGAGGCCTCCATGTCACGAACAGGGGCTGCAGCCAACCAGGTGCCTTGTGGGACCATGGGCCAACCACTCTTCAGCTCCTGCCGTTTGTCCCTAGGAGGTGGTGCAGGTTCTGGCTGTCAGGTGGTTGAGGTTCTGCAGAAGCTGACATTAGTGAAATCACACCACTTCTAAGTTTAAAGACTTCTGTGGGTCAAAATTGCTCAATGAGGACACTTCTCTGCAGCCGCTGATCTAAAGCAACACACTTGTAGAGATGAGGTGGGGTACCCAAGGCCTCAAATGCAGGGGTGCCCAGCTGGATGCCAATCTGGGTCTCCAAGACTGCCACTCAAGCCTTTTCTGCCTGGGCTCTGGCTATTACCAGAGCCTTCTAAATGTCTGGTGTTCCTCACTGATCAGGGACAGAGGTAGACCTCTGCACACCCAGGGTGGGGCAGCAGGCGACATCTCTACCACCCTCCCTTCCCTCAGTCCACAGGGGAGCTATAAAGAGTCCCAATAGTCCATACCCAACATATTCTGCAGGTTTGCCTCTTCCTGCCCTCCCAGCACACACTGCCTGGAGGCAAGGCTAATACATGCCTAGTTCCTTTTCTTGTGCCTCCTGTGACTGTCACAGCAATATTCCACCAACCACCTCCAAAGCTCCTGGCCCTCAAGCCCAACCCCCCAAACTGCTTTCCAAGCCCCTTTCCTGACTGGGCATTTTTACCATCTACCCTGGCATTTGGAGACCAACATCGTTCATCTCCCCTCATACTTACGATGACACTTCCTCCAGGAAGGCTCCCCTATCAATTCAGCCCAGGGAGCTTCCCACTTCACTGAAGCTCTGCGACAATCCGTCTCAGACTAAGCCTCAACATGGAGCCTAAAAGGACTCCTTGTTGCCTTGGAGTCAGAATGACTTTTTTTTTTGGGGGGGGGCGGGGTCAGTCATTAGACTTGAACTTTGGACCTGTCTGTCCCTCAGCTCTACCACTTGAGCCACAGTGCCACTTCTGGTTTTCTGGTCATTTATTGGAAATGTCTGTTTCCTGCCTAGGCTGGCTGGCTTTGAATCGTGATCCTCAGATTCAGCCTCCTGAGTAGCTAGGATTAGAGGCATCAGTCACCGGCTCTTCAGCTCAAGGCTAGCACTCTACCACTTGAGCCACAGTGCCACTTCTGGCTTTTTTTGCTTATGTGGTGCTGAGAAATCGAACCCAGGGCCTCATGCATGCAAGGCAAGCACTCTACCACTGAACCACCTTTCCCAGCCTGAGCTGTTTGTTCTCTTATAGCTGGCGCTCTACCATTTGAGCTATACCACTTCTGGCTTTTTACTGATTTACTGAAGGTTAAGTCTTTCAAATTTGTTTGCCTGGTTTGGCTTCAAGCTGCAATCCTCAGATCTCAGCCTTCTGGATAGCTAGGATTAAAAGTATGAGCCATCAGTGCATGGCTCTGAATGACTCTCAAGATGTCTCTAAGGGTCACCAGACTGCCCTTCTTTAAAGTAGCCAACTTCACAGCATTTCCTCCAGTGCATTGGAAATATCTACCTTTCCTTTAAGTCTTTTACTTTATTAAAACAAAAGAAAACAAAACAGAACCCTATAACCAGAAAAACTGACAGCAAGAGGACAAAGCCTCAGTTGGGATCATCCAGAGACCCAGCAGCATGGGATGGGTTAAGCTGAGCCTCACTGCGTCTGCAGAAAGGAGAGAGAGAGAGAGAGAGAGAGAAAGAGAGAGAGAGAGAGTGTGTGTGGAGATCTCAAGGACTTCAGCATGTTGGACTTGTAGAGGGAAAGGCAGGTGACTTAAAAAATATATATATATATTATACACATCTATACGAAGCGCCTTGTGTTGTGGGAGGGGCCACTTCCTCCTCGGACCAGCCTCCGGCAGGCTCACTGGCTTGGCCAGCACGGGACCCTAGGGCTGGCTGTCGTCTTGTGGAGGGAGAGGAAGATAAAGATCCAGTCCCAATCCACGATGGGGAGAGGGCAGAGGCCTGGAGATGGTCACTTCTCTGCTAAGATATCCCTGGGGGAAGGAAATGGTCAGATGTCAGATTGCCCAACTCATTTCTCCACCAAGGATGAAGTCAGGCCTCCCACTGCAGTTCAGGGGCACCAACTAACCACTCCACGTGACCATGCGGGCCCCGTGGTTGCTGCAGCTCCAGCCTTTGGCATCAACCCTGGCCCCACCTTCTCTTATGGTCCCCAGGGTGTTGGGCCGATCAGGAAGCATACCTGCGCCCTGTGCCTGGCATATGCCTTCACACCGCCTGCTCTACTGTCTTCTTCTGTAAAGGAAAGTGCAAAAGGCTCTTGTCCCTGTGGGTCCCCCACCCACTCACCACCATGCACCCACTGAAGCCTGGCAACGCCCCCACAACTCCATGGTCTTCTGCTCCCTCTCCTTACTTCAACCTCCCACATCCTTTTACCCTCCTATGGTCTTCAGAGGCTGGGAGGGGAGACATCTGCCAAGGCTCTTCCTTGTTAGGTCTCCTTCTTCTTCTTTTTTGCCAGTCCTGGGGCTTGAACTCAGGGCATGGGCACTGTGCCTGAGCTTCTTGTGCTCAAGGCTAGCACTCTACCCCTTGAGCCACAGTGCCACTTCCACCCTTTTCTTTTTATGTGGTACTAAGGGATGGTACCCAGGGCTTCATGCATGCTAGGCAAGTGCTCTACCACTAGCCACATTCCCAGCATCTTGTTAGGTCTTCCATAGCTCCAGAATGGAAAGGAGGCAAGGACCAGGCCCGAGTGTGGAAGGGGGTTAACATCCACCCCAGGAGGCCCTTCCTGGGTTCACACCCCTCACAAGTTCCCAACCTTTTTCTTCTTTTTCTTCTGGAATGGTGAGTCAGGATCTTTGGTTATAGTTTTTGCTTTCTTCTTCTTTTCTTTTTTCTCTTTGTCTTTTTTTTCTGAGGGAATAAAATAAACTTTCTTAGCCAAGATTACTCCTCGGTATTGGATTAGTCAACTTCTCAGCCCATGGGGCTCCGTTGGTCCCCAGCTCTCCTCACACACCTGGAAAGCCATCAAAACAGGATGTAGCTGGGCTAGGACACCTACTATTTTTCAGGGACCAGCTTCATGATTCCTTTCCAACCAAGTATTTTACTTTTCTTTTCTTTTCTTTTTTTCTTGTTGGTCGTGGGGCCTGAACTCTGGGCCTGGGCGCTGAAGAGCCTCAGCTCTTCAGCTTAAGGCTAGCGCTCTACCACTTGAGCCACCACACTACTTCTGGGTTTTTCTGCTTATGTGGTGCTGCAGAATAGAATCCAGGGCCTCATGCATACGAGGCAAGCATTCTACCACTGAGCCACCTTCCCAGCCTCTTTTTTTTTTTTGATCATGAGGCTTGGGTGCTGTCCCTGAGCTCTTTTGCTCAAGGATAGTGCTCAGTGCCACCTCCAGTTTTCTGTTAATAAGAGTCTCATAGGTGCCAGGCACCGGTGGCTCATGCCTGTAATCCTAGCTACTCAGGCTGAGATCAGAGGATGGTGGTTCAAAGCCAGCCTGGGCAGGAAAAGTCCATGAGACTCTTATCTCCAATTAACCACCGGAAGTGGGACTGTGGCTCAAGTGGTAGAGTGCTAGCCTTGGGCTGAAGAGCTGAGGGGCAGCACTCAGGCCCAGAGTTCAAGTTCCATGGCTGACAACAAAAAAGTCTCATGGATTTAACTGCCTGGGCTGGCTTTGAACCATGATTCTCAGATCTCAGCCTTCTGACTAGTAGGATTACAGGTGTGAGCCACCAGCACCTGGTTCTATTTTTCTTTCTTTTTTTTTTTGGGTCTGGT